AAGCTATGGAAAGAGCCACGCAAGGCGCAGGAGAAGTTTCTCCTAAAGCTGATCTCCCGCGACGCAGATACAGAGTACGGCAGACGATACTTGACAGGCATCCAATCACTGCAGGATTTCCGAGACAAACATCCACTCACCAAGTATGATCACTACCAGGATTACTTCCAGAGGCTGGCAGACGGGGAGAAGAACGTATGTGTGGCAGCCAAAGTGGACAGGTTTGGAATTTCCTCCGGCACCACGGGAAAGGGCAAGCTGATACCAATGGTATATGATGACAGTGGGTTGGGACTCGTGGTCGCTTTACAGGCAGTAGGGTCGAGCCCCATACAGAAAATTGTCGGGTTGTACTGCAAACCGGCACAGAAGCTTACCAAGTCAGGACTGCCTATTACACCAGCGGTATTCGTGCCCGAGAATAGTTCCAGTGCAGAATTCATGCTAAGCATGCTCCAGAATTCACCCTTTAGTGCTTTCCAGATTTCTACGGATTTCGAAGCCACCTACGTCCACCTTCTCTTCGCACTGAACGACAAAAACATCTGCATGTTCTATGCTCCATTCGCGTCACAGGTGTACAGGGCGTTCTCCATGCTGGAAGATGAGCAAGACATGTTCTTGGAGGATCTTTCTACAGGCAGGATCAATCCTAGACTGAACATTGATGCGGAGATACGACGTTCGCTGGATGCTGCATTGAAGGCCAACCCAGCCAGGGCTGATGAGTTGAGAGCAGAGTTTGCTCGAGGTTTTGTTGGTATCCTTGGGCGAATCTGGCCGCATCTGAATTGCTTTGTGACCGTAGATATCTCTGGCTATGAGCAGAAACTCAAAGCCAAATACACCAAAGGTGAGTAAAATACAGTTCGTGTAGTTACGTGTTGAGCTATAGAAAGCACTCAGAGAGCGCACACCTCAACCAAGGCTGAACAATTCCACACCATATTGTGAGCACACCCATACAGCCTCGCATATCAAATGGGCTTCGATACTTTATTGCACATTTAAAACATCTTTAACTTCCCCATTGTACAAAATGGTATAGTCCATTGACCTGTGTGGTTAGAATAGGTGGGTTACAAGGCATAAAGGGTCACTTGGTCAGTGCCACGCACACGAACCTGTGCACAGAGCGATCTGGTGAAAGTTTTACATGCATATAATGAGTGAATTTTGTTTTAAAGTCCTGCATCCAAAGGCAGATCCAAATCACTTCCAAAATCTAATCGATTTGCATTGGTACTAAGGACTGTCCCTTAAACAATTTTCATGAAAATCCACTCACAACTTTTTGAAATATTCTGTTCACAGACAAACGCACCAACCAATCAACCAACCAACCACCAACACACAAAACCTAACCCCTTGGCGGAGGCACTAACATTGTACTGAGCTGTAAAAAAAAAATAAGTGAAGCTATAGCACTGGTTCCCGATCCCTAAATTAGAATTGGGGAGGGAGCCAGTTTCAACCACTCCCATTTTTCAAAATTAATAACACCGAGTCGTTTTAGAGTAGGCCTACACGGAACTACAGTTTTCCAAACAGAAAAGTATTATATGAAATATAGTTTGTTGCCATTTTAATATTTTTTGAACTATGTTGAGTAAATAGTGTAGACATACATGTTAATTAAATGGGATAACTTTATTTACCAATCTATTGTTCTTCAATTCCAACAGCCAATGGGCTAAAATCAGATATGGAGATCAGTGGCTGTCGCGTGTTCCTCGTGCTTTCGTAAGAGCTCATTTTGACCCATTTTATCCATTTTATATTAGGCACCCGTCTTTACACATTCGCTTACGGCTGCACAGAAGGTTTACTTTGCTTCAACTTGTGGATGGACGGTAGACCGCCGCAATATGTGCTGAGCCCTAGTACAACCTTGACGGAGTTTATTCCTGAAGATCTCAGGTAGAAAACAAGTAATGAAATAAACAATATGGTGATAGCACAAAATATCAATTAGTTCTTTCTTGAAACTTGGTAAGTCTATTGATCTTGATGTTATGTTAACAAGGTTATAAACTCTTTTCCATGAGTCATGCGCGTCGCATGAAAACCTGGCGCACACAGACTGTGAAAGTGAGATTTTCGGAAAGATAATCGATACCTAGTTTTTTTCACAACTTCGTTCGTTGACGTCATTGGGTTTTTTTAGAACACTTCCTGCTTAATGACACTTTCCCTATTTGATCTTAATTTTTATTTTACTGTAAACATAGCTTGTAATATTTTATTGCGATAAGTCCCGACTAGGCCTATTTCATTTTTAGGAAGAGGTAGGCCTATGTCCACAATACTGGAACTTGAAGTAAAGGATGACACTTCAACGATATAGGTCATTCAAACAAAACTGAGCCTGGCAATGGACTATCTTACAAGAGCCAAAGAAAATGGAAATTTAATATTTTTAAGAATAAAACACTGAATCTACAGTTCATGATGAAGTGATATTTCAAGAGTAAGCGGATTACTGCAGTGTACATTTTACACAATTCAGATGCTTCGTATCAACTGAACACAAAAAATGAAATTTTAAAGTAATTAAAAATACTTGTATTTCATCTAGTGAGGAGGCAAATCCAAAGACTTTATTTCTGGATGAGATCGAGGTTGGAAAACGCTACGAGATAGTCATAACGACCGTAAGTGGGTTTTACCGCTACCGCATGGGCGACGTGGTGGAGGTTGTAGGTTTCCATGACAACTGCCCGGTGATTCAAGTGAAATACAGGTAAGCTTAGCGCCGATCTATGCAAAATGGCGTTGTGTAAATGAAATGTTTATATATGTATACAGTAAAAAAAAGCGAAACCCAAATGTCAGGACTATTGTTTTAGTGAAGTTCTGCATGTAGCACTTTCAAAATCTAGGATATGAAAGCCCAATTCATAAGCTTTCTATTGGTACAAGAATCATTCAAATTACTTGTGTACTTTTCAAGTGACGGAATTTTAAACACAACCACCGTTTTAAAGTTCTGTCCACGGATCACAAGAAGGTAAGTGTTCGTTCAGCAAAACGAAAACAAATCACACAGGGATGTGTGTAGATTGTTCTCGTTTTGCTGAAAGAACGCGGACCTTTTTTTTGGTGATCCGTGGACAGAACTTTAAAACGGTGGTTATGTTTAAAATTCCGTAACTTGAAATTGAAAGTGCTACATGCAGAACTTCACTAAAACAATGGCCCGACATTTGGGTTTCTTTTTTTTGTACTCACCCTGTACAACTCAATTTTATAAATCTGAAACAGGTAAAGCATCGGTGTTCAATGTCCCAGATACACTTTTTGTACATCATTGAAAAGTACTCAATTGATAATATTTAACTTTAACAATTGTTGACAATACTTGAATTGAAAATGCTCTTGTATACTCAGAACTGGCGAGCTGTTGAATTTACGGAGCGAGAAGATTGACAAGCTTGTAGTGAACAACGCCATACAGGAGAGCTTGACCAGCTGGCAAGGGGCGACGCTGGTGGACTGGACATGCGCAGAGAGTCCATTGATGTACGAGGACGCGGAGCATGGTAAATAAAATGATTGGCACAGTGTTTTAGAAATCTCGGTCTCGTTTCCAAAATATCAGAAAATTCCGTGAGTTTTCTTTTGTTTCCAAACAGTTGATTTTGACATGTTGTACCTACTGTTCATCGAGTTGGAATCAGTGGACGGCTTCCGTTTATCAGAGGAGCAGAAGTCATTGGTAATTATCCCGATTTTTTTTTTTTTTTTTTTTTTTTTTGGCATAGGCCTACACAGACACACAATTTTGTTATCAATAAATCGATTTCAAAGTAAGCTTGTAGCTCCTGCTTTAACAGCTGTCGCCATTTTTGCTGATGATTCTTTGGAGATAAAACATATCATTAACTCTTTTAAATGGCACTATTTTAATTCGTTATTTCCTTCAGTTCGACCAGTCACTTCGCAAGCAGCACGAGTTCTACGACCACTACCGCCAAGTTGGCACCATCTGCGAGGCTCGCGTGATGATCGTTCGCCCAGGATCCTTCAAGAAATTGCAAGACTTCATAATAGCGACTTCCACGGCCAGTTATAACCAGTTCAAGATGCCCAAAAAGCTGCGCACAAAGGCGACTCTTGATCTCATGATGAAGTGTGTAGTAGATGTTTAATATATGCCATAAAAACCTGTAGGCTTTATTGAACAACCATTACTGTGTGTCAGATGTCACACGCACATTTTGCCAATGTTTTTTTTTTACAGTACATAGAAAAGTGCTCATTCGCAAACAAAAGTGTGAATTATTATAGTGTGTCCTGGATATTTAATAATATCTGTCATAAAAACCTGTAGGCTTTATGGAGGAACCCTTGTTGTGTGTGTCTGATGTCACGCGCACGTTTTGCCAATAGACCGCTTGCAGACGCGATCGATAATTGGCGCGCGAAGGTGCAAACGCCATGTTGTGGGACAAAATGTGCATGGATAGATTTACGCTTGTCCCACAACATGGCGTCGTGCGCCTTCGCGCGTCGATTATCGAACGCGTATGCAAGCGGTCTATGGACCGATCCAGTAAGCACCGCCCAATGGTGTTCTGACCAATCACAGCCGCGATTTATGTCCGACGTGCGTGCACAAATTTCTGACATGCGTGCACGCGCGTATGAAGCGTGAGGCAGGAAAATGCAGCGTGACATGGAGAGGAGGACGTGTTAATTTGCCCAGTGCGCAGTGGGCGGGGCTTACTGGATCGGTCCATTGTGTTGTTTCTTTGGTGTTTTTTTTACAGTGCACAGAAAAGTGCTTATTCGCGAACAACAGTGTGAATCGTTAATAATAATAATCGGCATTTAAGAACGCTCTTATTAGTAAACTAAATCACAGCGCTTACAGTATTATTATTACTCCTGATCATTGGGCCAATTAAAAACATTCCAAATACCATCTCAGCTCCCTGGGGAGTATACAGCTCGATGCTGCCTGTTAGTCACAAGCAAGCTTATTCAAGCTTATTCAATCACAATAACCATCTCTGCCCTCACAGGTACCCATTTACTCCTGGGTGGAGAGAAGCAATGAGTGACAAAGTGCCTTTCTCAAGGGCCCACGCACAATGACCCAGGCTGGACTCGAACCCACACCCCGCAGCTTTTATACCCACAGTCCACGAATCCAGTGCCCTTGGCCACAGCACTCCACAATGATTATGAATGCAAAAGTCAGTTACTTTAGAGATATATTTGGCATAGGTTTTTTTTAAATGCAAAACAAAGAATCTAAGAGTGTCGTTGCAATCCCGAGATGCACAGAGACCAGAATTTGCCTACCAGGTCATGAGAAGTTGAAATAACCCTGGCTCTGGAAAATTAAGAAGTTGGTGTAGTGTGAAAATGAGACATTAAAATCAGAATTTTTTTTTTTTTTTTTTTTTAAAATAACATTACAATTGTTCAAATACGGAGGGCATGATATGAACTTTCAGATGCCTAGAAGAATAAGTAGCAGGTTTGTGGAATTTTTTTGATACATTTCCTATTATTTGAATTATCAAATGTATATTTTCATTATTTTTTTTATTTTAATTTTTGAAAAAAAAACAAGCATGGTGGGGGTGCAACCACAATAAAACAACCACTCTTAACCTCGTTCCCATGGTCTAACCTTAATACAATAGTAAAGACAGAGCAGCCAGACTGAGCTAGTGGGAGCGTACTGCTCCGTGTCATGGGGACGAGGTCAGACTTGCCGAACTCTTTCAAGTGACGTCACTGGAAAGCTCGCTTGGGGAACGGTGATATCCTTAGTGACGCATGTTTCGTGCCATTGTTGTCAGTAGTGCAGGTATTTAAATTGTTGTTGAAGAAATTGCTAGTTTTTTTAGTTTATCTGCTAGTTTGTTATCAGTGGAGAATCTTTTATATGGACTGTGATAATGTATAAGAATGTTAACTCAGTTAAATGCATCATAAACACGATGCTGCTTGAGGCTTGTAAATTCGAATCTAGCCAAGAAAGACTTGGTCAATATGGAAAACAACTGGAATTAATTTAACTTTAAAATGTTTAAGTTCAGTTGGGTTCTGTATGCATTAAATCATGCTTATACCCATCATATATGATGTAGAATATGTTTATGACCTCGCGTTACCATTGGAGACTATGTAGCTATTAACAACTGCTGCTGGCCACTGTCATGTGGGCGTGGCCTTTCGGTAAGGGGGGGGGGGGTTGGCAAATATCCATGAGTTCCCCATGTGTGGTCCGGAATCGACCACTTTTAATTAGTCTTATTTACCAAGGAATATGTGTCTAACCATACCACCTGCTGAAATGTTGCCTTGCCGATCATCTTCTGCGTCTCTCGTAACAAAAGGATACCCCCATACTCAGAGGCACTTTATCTTTTCTTTTCTTTTTTAAAGATAACCCGCTTCCAAACCAAAACTTTGATACAACATGTTCCCTTGGCAACAAATACTGAGTGCCAGCCAAAAACTGTGTAATTCTTACATTATAATTCCCGCGATCAAAATGCCATAAGTTGACTTGTGTAAGTTTAGGACTGCACTCGAAGTATCGAAATGTTCACAGTGCCAGCAAGCCTTTCATTGTGAACGTGCACGTAGTTCGAGTTCTAAAGTACACTGCGATCTACCGTTCCGACCCTCTTGGTTTCTCAAATTGGTTCAACATGGCAGTAACGTGGGAACATCGGTGTGTGTTGTGGGCCTTGGCGTCTGCTGGTTTCACTGCGTATGTTATCAATGCGTATTTCATCAACGACGCCACTTGGTTATGCCGTGTTGCAGCAGGTATGGTAGGCCAATAGGCCATTATGCGGTGTATGCTTGGGCATAACTTATGTGGTGCACTACAACTTGCCCAGTCATGCATGAGCGGCTGTTTTGTACTTTTGCTTGCACAATAATTTGAGGTCGCACTGAAAGGACACTTAAATTTGCAAACATTACTTATTTGGTGTGAATCGTGAATTTGGTCTCGCATATTATGAGCCAATAGTTGCGACAAAGTGAATATTGTAGCAAATATTATTACTGTTACAAATAATTGCGACATCGTGAATGTAGTCGCCAACACTGGGGCTAATATGTGCGATATGTCTATCCGGAGCCACCATGCATGCACAATATTATCGCCACTAATAGGCAAGGCCGGTTCCAGGACACAATTTTTTGGGGGGCCAAAAACTATTTTGGTCCCCCAAAAAAGTGGGTCAAAAAAATTACGGCGTGGGGTTCGGGGCCCGCTTAAGGGCCCCGGTTTTTTTTTGGATTCTAGATGCTCTGTGGTGCGATCTGAGGCAATTTCTGACCACTTTAACCAATGTTTTTTTGAGGAAAAGATGGTGGTGTACTCATTGCCTGCCTTGGCCCCCTTTGGCCCCCCCCCCCGGATCCGCCCTTGCTAATAGGTACCAGAGTGAGTGGAAAAAACCTCTGTTAAATTATTAATGAACAGTTTCTTTGTGGACCACTTTATCCACAATCTAATTATATTTCACAGTTTAAATATTTAATTAAGAAATTGCTAGTATTTAGTTTATCTGCTAGTTTGTTATCATTGGAGAATCTTTTATATGGACTTTGATAATGTATAAGAATGTTAACTCAATTAAATGCATCATAAACATGATGCTGCTTGAGGCTTGTAAATTCGAAATTAGCCAAGAAAGACTTGGTCAATATGGAAAACAACTGGAATTAATTTAACTTTAAAATGTTTAAGTTCAGTTGGGTTCTGTATACATTAAATCATGCTTTATACCCATCACATATGTGATAAAAAATATGTTTATGACCTCGCGTTACCATTGGAGACTATGTAGCTATTAACAACTGCTGCTGGCCACTGTCATGTGGGCGTGGCATTTCGGTAAGGGGGGGTTGACAAATATTCATGAGTTCCCTATGGTTGGTCCGGAATCGACCACTTTTAATTAGTCTTATTTACCAAGGAATATGTGTCTAACCATACCACCTGCTGAAATGTTGCCTTGCCGATCATCTTCTGCGTCTCTCGTAACAAAAGGATACCCCCATACTCAGAGGCACTTTATCTTTTCTTTTCTTTTTTAAAGATAACCCGCTTCCAAACCAAAACTTTGATACAACATGTTCCCTTGGCAACAAATACTGAGTGCCAGCAAAAAACTGTGTAATTCTTACATTATAATTCCCGCGATCAAAATGCCATAAGTTGACTTGTGTAAGTTTAGGACTGCACTCGAAGTATCGAAATGTTCACAGTGCCAGCAAGCCTTTCATTGTGAACGTGCACGTACTTCGAGTTCTAAAGTACACTGCGATCTACCGTTCCGACCCTCTTGGTTTCTCAAATTGGTTCAACATGGCAGTAACGTGGGAACATCGGTGTGTGTTGTGGGCCTTGGCGTCTGCTGGTTTCACTGCGTATGTTATCAATGCGTATTTCATCAACGACGCCACTTGGTTATGCCGTGTTGCAGCAGGTATGGTAGGCCAATAGGCCATTATGCGGTGTATGCTTGGGCATAACTTATGTGGTGCACTACAACTTGCCCAGTCATGCATGAGCGGCTGTTTTGTACTTTTGCTTGCACAATAATTTGAGGTCGCACTGAAAGGACACTTAAATTTGCAAACATTACACATTTGGTGTGAATCGTGAATTTGGTCTCGCATATTATGAGCCAACAGTTGCGACAAAGTGAATATTGTAGCAAATATTAATACTGTTACAAATAATTGCGACATCGTGAATGTAGTCGCCAACACTTGGGCTAATATGTGCGATATGTCCATCCGGAGCCACCATGCATGCACAATATTATCGCCACTATATGGGTACCAAAGTAAGTGAAAAAACTCTGTTAAATTATTAATGAACAGGTTCTTTGTGGACCACTTTATCCACAATCTAACCTCGTGACAATGTTCGCGTCAAGCTAAACTTTGCGTTTCACGTGCCTACCAGTTAGGCCTACGGTGAGCTAAATGATCAGCAGTTCGCACTTGGTAGGTCTTCATTTCAAAACGACACATTATGATATCGATGATATCGAAACTGTCTGGCTTTTTTTTTGGGGGGGGGAGGGGCGGTTACCTGTAGAAGGACTTTGGAGAGCCTTTTGGGCCATCTGTTTCTCCAAACTTCAGTGGCAGAAAAATTCAGTCCATTTTTTGTTTAATAATGAACTTCTAGAATTAGCCAAACACAGACATGTCGAATTTTTTTGCAACTGGCTGGTTTTGTTATTTTGTTGTCTTCAGGTTTCTTAGCGATTCTGGGCACCTTGTCCTCGGTCACAGCTTTTCACATCTCAACCCTCCGGTGCTCCGAAAGTCACACCCTCAAGACACTGTTGCTGCAGTACATCCTCTTCCAAGTTGCAACCCTTGCCACGCCATTCAGTTTGTATAAGCTTAAAAAGCTATGGAAAGAGCCACGCAAGGCGCAGGAGAAGTTTCTCCTAAAGCTGATCTCCCGCGACGCAGATACAGAGTACGGCAGACGATACTTGACAGGCATCCAATCACTGCAGGATTTCCGAGACAAACATCCACTCACCAAGTATGATCACTACCAGGATTACTTCCAGAGACTGGCAGACGGGGAAAAGAACGTCTGTGTGGCAGCCAAAGTGGACAGGTTTGGAATTTCCTCAGGCACCACGGGAAAGGGCAAGCTGATACCAATGGTATTTAATGACAGTGGGTTGGGACTCGTGGTCGTTTTACAGGCAGTGGGGTCGAGCCCCATACAGAAAATGGCTGGGTTGTACTGCAAACCGGCACAGAAGTTTACCAAGTCAGGACTGCCTATTGCACCAGCGGTATTCGTGCCTGACAATAGTTCCCTTGCAAAATTCATGGTAAGCACGCTCCTGAATTCACCATTTAGTGCCTTCCAGATTTCTACGGATTTCGAAGCCACCTACGTCCACCTTCTCTTCGCACTGACCGACAAAAACGTCTGCACGTTCAGTGCTCCATTCGCGTCACAGGTGTACAGGGCGTTCTCCATGCTGGAAGATGAGCAAGACATGTTCTTGGAGGATCTTTCTACAGGCAGGATCAATCCTAGACTGAACATTGATGCGGAGACACGACGTTCGCTGGATGCTGCCTTGGAGGCCAACCCAGCCAGGGCTCATGAGCTGAGAGCAGAGTTTGCTCGAGGTTTTGTTGGTATCCTTGGGCGAATCTGGCCGCATCTGAATTGCTTTGTGACCGCAGATATATCTGGCTATGTGCAGAAACTCAAAGCCAAATACACCAAAGGTGAGTAAAATACAGTTCGTGTAGTTACGTGTATAGAAAGCACTCAGAGACCTATGTGGCTAGATTAGGTGGGTTACAAGGCATATAGGGTCACTGGGTCAGTGCCACGCACACGAACCTGTGCACAGAGCGATCTGGTGAAAGTTTTACATGCATATATGAGTGAATTTTTTTTTTTTTTAAATGTCCTGGATCCACACGCAGATGCCTATCACTTCCAAAATCTAATCGATTTGCACTTGTACCAAGGACCGTCCCTAAAACAATTCTTATGAAAATCCGCTCAGAACTTTTTGAAATATCCTGTTCACAGACAAACGCACCAACCAATCAACCAACCAACCACCAACACACAAAACCTAACCCCTTGGCGGAGGCACTAACATTGTACTGAGCTGTAAAAAAAAAAATAAGTGAAGCTATAGCACTGGTTCCCGATCCCTAAATTAGAATTGGGGAGGGAGCCAGTTTCAACCACTCTCATTTTTCAAAATTAATAACATCGATTCGTCTAATAGAGTAGGCCTACACTGAACTACAGTTTTCCAAACAGAAAAGTATTATATGAAATATAGTTTGTTGCCATTTTAATATTTTTTTAACTATGTTTAGTAAAGAGTGTAGACATACATGTCAATGAAATGGGATAACTTTATTTACCGGTCTATTGTTCTTCAATTCCAACAGCCAATGGGCTAAAATCAGATTTTTATATGGAGATCAGTGGCTGTCACATGTTCCTCGTGCTTTCGTTAGAGCTCATTTTTGACCCATTTTATCCATTTTATATTAGGCAGCCGTCTTTACTCATTCGCTTACGGCTGCACCGAAGGTTTAGTTTGCTACAACTTGTGGATGGACGGTAGACCGCCGCAATATGTGCTGAGCCCTAGTACAAACTTGACGGAGTTCATTCCTGAAGATCTCAGGTAGAAAACAAGTAATGACATAAACAATATGGTGATAGCACAAAATATCAATTAGTTCTTTCTTGAAACTTGGTAAGTCTATTGACCTTGATGTTATGTTAACAAGGTTATAAACTCTTTTCCATGAGTCATGCGCGTCGCATGAAAACCTGGCGCACACAGACTGTGAAAGTGAGATTTTCGGAAAGATAATCGATACCTAGTTTTTTTCACAACTTCGTTCGTTGACGTCATTGGTTTTTTTTTAGAACACTTCCTGCTTAATGACACTTTCCCTATTTGATCTTAATTTTTATTTTACTGTAAACATAGCTTGTAATATTTTATTGCGATAAGTCCCGACTAGGCCTATTTCATTTTTTGGAAGAGGTAGGCCTATGTCCACAATACTGGAACTTGAAGTAAAGGATGACACTTCAACGATATAGGTCATTCAAACAAAACTGAGCCTGGCAATGGACTATCTTACAAGAGCCAAAGAAAATGGAAATTTAATATTTTTAAGAATAAAACACTGAATCTACAGTTCATGATGAAGTGATATTTCAAGAGTAAGCGGATTACTGCAGTGTACATTTTACACAATTCAGATGCTTCGTATCAACTGAACACAAAAAATGAAATTTTAAAGTAATTAAAAATACTTGTATTTCATCTAGTGAGGAGGCAAATCCAAAGACTTTATTTCTGGATGAGATCGAGGTTGGAAAACGCTACGAGATAGTCATAACGACCGTAAGTGGGTTTTACCGCTACCGCATGGGCGACGTGGTGGAGGTTGTAGGTTTCCATGACAACTGCCCGGTGATTCAAGTGAAATACAGGTAAGCTTAGCGCCGATCTATGCAAAATGGCGTTGTGTAAATGAAATGTTTATATATGTATACAGTAAAAAAAAGCGAAACCCAAATGTCAGGACTATTGTTTTAGTGAAGTTCTGCATGTAGCACTTTCAAAATCTAGGATATGAAAGCCCAATTCATAAGCTTTCTATTGGTACAAGAATCATTCAAATTACTTGTGTACTTTTCAAGTGACGGAATTTTAAACACAACCACCGTTTTAAAGTTCTGTCCACGGATCACAAGAAGGTAAGTGTTCGTTCAGCAAAACGAAAACAAATCACACAGGGATGTGTGTAGATTGTTCTCGTTTTGCTGAAAGAACGCGCACCTTTTTTTTGGTGATCCGTGGACAGAACTTTAAAACGGTGGTTACGTTTAAAATTCCGTAACTTGAAATTGAAATTGCTACATGCAGAACTTCACTAAAACAATGGCCCGACATTTGGGTTTCTTTTTTTTGTACTCACCCTGTACAACTCAATTTTATAAATCTGAAACAGGTAAAGCATCGGTGTTCAATGTACATCATTGAAAAAGTACTCAATTGATAATATTTAACTTTAACAATTGTTGACAATACTTGAATTGAAAATGCTCTTGTATACTCAGAACTGGTGAGCTGTTGAATTTACGGAGCGAGAAGATTGACAAGCTTGTAGTGAACAACGCCATACAGGAGAGCTTGACCAGCTGGCAAGGGGCGACGCTGGTGGAATGGACATGTGCAGAGAGTCCATTGATGTACGGGGACGCGGAGCATGGTAAATAAAATGATTGGCACAGTGTTTTAGAAATCTCGGTCTCGTTTCCAAACAATGAGAAAATTCCGTGAGTTTTCTTTTGTTTCCAAACAGTTGATTTTGACATGTTGTACCTACTGTTCATCGAGTTGGAATCAGTGGACGGCTTCCGTTTATCAGAGGAGCAGAAGTCATTGGTAATTATCCCGATTTTTTTTTTTTTTGGCATAGGCCTACACAGACACGCAATTTTGTTATCAATAATACGATTTCAAAGTAAGCTTGTAGCTCCTGCTTTAACAGCTGTCGCCATTTTTGCTGATGATTCTTTGGAGATAAAACATATCATTAACTCTTTTAAATGGCACTATTTTAATTCGTTATTTCCTTCAGTTCGACCAGTCACTTCGCAAGCAGCACGAGTTCTACGACCACTACCGCCAAGTTGGCACCATCTGCGAGGCTCGCGTGATGATCGTTCGCCCAGGATCCTTCAAGAAATTGCAAGACTTCATAATAGCGACCTCCACGGCCAGTTATAACCTGTTCAAGATGCCCAAAAAGCTGCGCACAAAGGCGACTCTTGATCTCATGATGAAGTGTGTAGTAGATGTTTAATATATGCCATAAAAACCTGTAGGCTTTATTGAACAACCCTTACTGTGTGTCAGATGTCACATGCACATTTTGCCAATGTTTTTTTTTTTTTACAGTACATAGAAAAGTGCTCATTCGCAAACAAAAGTGTGAATTATTATAGTGTGTCCTGGATATTTAATAATATCTGTCATAAAAACCTGTAGGCTTTATGGAGGAACCCTTGTTGTGTGTGTCTGATGTCACGTGCACGTTTTGCCAATAGACCGCTTGCAGACGCGATCGATAATTGACGCGCGAAGGTGCAAACGCCATGTTGTGGGACAAAATGTGCATGGATAGATTTACGCTTGTCCCACAACATGGCGTCGCGCGCCTTTGCGCGTCGATTATCGAACGCGTATGCAAGCGGTCTATGGACCGATCCAGTAAGCACCGCCCAATGGTGTTCTGACCAATCACAGCCGCGATTTATGTCCGACGTGCGTGCACAAATGTCTGACATGCGTGCACGCGCGTATGAAGCGTGAGGCAGGAAAATGCAGCGTGACATGGAGAGGAGGACGTGTTAATTTGCCCAGTGCGCAGTGGGCGGGGCTTACTGGATCGGTCCATTGTGTTGTTTCTTTGGTGTTTTTTTTACAGTGCACAGAAAAGTGCTTATTCGCGAACAACAGTGTGAATCGTTAATAATAATAATCGGCATTTAAGAACGCTCTTATTAGTAAACTAAATCACAGCGCTTACAGTATTATTATTACCCCTGATCATTGGGCCAATTAAAAACATTCCAAATACCATCTCAGCTCCCTGGGGAGTATACAGCTCGATGCTGCCTGTTAGTCACAAGCAAGCTTATTCAAGCTTATTCAATCACAATAACCATCTCTGCCCTCACAGGTACCCATTTACTCCTGGGTGGAGAGAAGCAATGAGTGACAAAGTGCCTTTCTCAAGGGCCCACGCACAATGACCCAGGCTGGACTCGAACCCACACCCCGCAGCTTTTATACCCACAGTCCACGAATCCAGTGCCCTTGGCCACAGCACTCCACAATGATTATGAATGCAAAAGTCAGTTACTTTAGAGATATATTTGGCATAGGTTTTTTTTAAATGCAAAACAAAGAATCTAAGAGTGTCGTTGCAATCCCGAGATGCACAGAGACCAGAATTTGCCTACCAGGTCATGAGAAGTTGAAATAACCCTGGCTCTGGAAAATTAAGAAGTTGGTGTAGTGTGAAAATGAGACATTACAATCAGAATTTTTTTTTTTTTTTTTTTTTAAATAACATTACAATTGTTCAAATACGGAGGGCATGATATGAACTTTCAGATGCCTAGAAGAATAAGTAGCAGGTTTGTGGAATTTTTTTGATACATTTCCTATTATTTGAATTATCAAATGTATATTTTCATTATTTTTTTTATTTTAATTTTTGAAAAAAAAACAAGCATGGTGGGGGTGCAACCACAATAAAACAACCACTCTTAACCTCGTTCCCATGGTCTAACCTTAATACAATAGTAAAGACAGAGCAGCCAGACTGAGCTAGTGGGAGCGTACTGCTCCGTGTCATGGGGACGAGGTCAGACTTGCCGAACTCTTTCAAGTGACGTCACTGGAAAGCTCGCTTGGCGAATGGTGATTTTCTTAGTGACGCATGTTTCGTGCCATTGTTGTCAGTAGTGCAGGTATTTTCGTCTGTATTATATTTCTCAGTTTAAATTTTTGTTGAAGAAATTGCTAGTTTTTTTAGTTTATCTGCTAGTTTGTTATCATAGGAGAATCTTTTATTTGTACTTTAATAATGTATAAGAATGTTAACTCAGTTAAATGCATCATAAACACGATGCTGCTTGAAGCTTGTAAATTCGAAATTAGCCAAGAAAGAGTTGGTCAATATGGAAAACAACTGGAATTAATTTAACTTTAAAATATTTAAGTTCAGTTGGGTTCTGTATGCATTAAATCATGCTTTATACCCATCATATATGATGTAGAATATGTTTATGACCTCGCGTTTCCATTGGAGACTATGTAGCTATTAACAACTGCTGCTGGCCACTGTCATGTGGGCGTGGCCTTTCGGTAAGGGGGGGGGGTTGACAAATATCCATGAGTTCCCCATGTGTGGTCCGGAATCGACCACTTTTAATTAGTCTTATTTACCATGGAATATGTGTCTAACTATACCACTTGCTGGAATGTTGCCTGCAACATGCCGATTATCTTCCACGTCCGTGGTAGCAAAAGGATATCCCATAATAATCATAGGCACTTTTTCTTATTCTTGTATTAATACAACCCGCTTCCATACCAAAACTTTGATACAGCATTGGCCCTTGGCATCAAATACTGAGTGCCAGCGAAAAACTGTATAATTCTCACTATACATTGTGATTCCCGCGATCAAAATACTAAAAGTTGAGTTGAGTAAGTCTATTAAAGACTGCCACTCGAAGTATCGAAATCCAAAGACTGAAGTTCACAGTGCCAGCAAGCCTTTCATTGTGAACGTGCACGTAGTACCAGTTCTATAGTACACTGCAATCTACCGTTCCGACCCTCTTAGTTTCTCAAATTGGTTCAACATGGCGGTAACGTGGGAACATCGGTGTGTGTTGTGGGCCTTGGCGTCTGCTGGTTTCACTGCGTATGTTATCAATGCATATTTCATCAACGACGCCACTTGGTTGTGCCGTGTTGCAGCAGGTATGGTAGGCCAATAGACCATTATATGCGGTGTATGCTTGGGCATAACTTATGTGGTGCACTACAACGTGCCCAGTCATGCATGAGCGGCTGTTTTGTACTTTTGCTTGCACAATAATTTGAGGTCGCACTGAAAGGACATTTAAATTTACAAACATTATACATTTGGTTTGAATCGTGAATTTGGTCTCGCATATTATGAGCCAATAGTTGCGACAAAGTGAATATTGTAGCAAATATTATTACTGTTACAAATAATTGCGACATCGTGAATGTATTCGCCAACACTGGGGCTAATATGTGCGATATGTCCATCCGGAGCCACCATGCATGCACAATATTATCGCCACTAATAGGCAAGGGCGGTTCCAGGACACAATTTTTTGGGGGGGCCAAAAACTATTTTGGTCCCCCAAAAAAGTGGGTCAAAAAAATTACGGCGTGGGGTTCGGGGCCCGCTTAAGGGCCCCGGGTTTTTTTGGGATTTTAGATGCTCCGTGGTGCGATCTGAGGCAATTTCTGACCACTTTAACCAATGTTTTTTGAGGAAAAGATGGTGGTGTACTCATTGCCTGCCTTGGCCCCCTTTGCCCCCCCCCCGGATCCGCCCTTGCTAATAGGTACCAAAGTGAGTGGAAAAAACTCTGTTAAATTATTAATGAACAGTTTCTTTGTGGACCACTTTATCCACAATCTAATTATATTTCACAGTTTAAATATTTGTTTAACAAATTGCTAGTATTTAGTTTATCTGCTAGTTTGTTATCATTGGAGAATCTTTTATATGGACTTTACTAATGTATAAGAATGTTAACTCAGTTAAATGCATCATAAACATGATGCTGCTTGAGGCTTGTAAATTCGAAATTAGCCAAGAAAGACTTGGTCAATATGGAAAACAACTGGAATTAATTTAACTTTAAAATATTTAAGTTCAGTTGGGTTCTGTATGCATTAAATCATGTTTTATACCCATCATATATGATGTAGAATATGTTTATGACCTCGCGTTACCATTGGAGACTATGTAGCTATTAACAACTGCTGCTGGCCACTGTCATGTGGGCGTGGCCTTTCGGTAAGGGGATCGTGACAAATATCCATGAGTTTCCCATGTGTGGTCCGGAATCGACCACTTTTAATTAGTCTTATTTACCAAGGAATATGTGTCTAACCATACCACCTGCTGAAATGTTGCCTCCTTGCCGATCATCTTCTGCGTCTCTCGTAACAAAAGGATACCCCAATACTCAGAGGCACTTTATCTTTTCTTTTCTTTTTTAAACATAACCCGCTTCCAAACCAAAACTTTGATACAACATTGGCCCTTGGCATCAAATACTGAGTGCCAGCAAAAAACTGTGTAATTCTTACATTATAATTCCCGCGATCAAAATGCTAACAGTTGACTTGTGTAAGTCTAGGACTGCACTCGAAGTATCGAAATCCAAAGACTGAAGTTCACAGTGCCAGCAAGCCTTTAATTGTGAACGTGCACGTAGGACGAGTTCTATAGTACACTGCAATCTATCGTTCCGACCCTCTTAATTTCCAAATTGGTTCAACATGGCGGTAACGTGGGAACATCGGTGTGTGTTGTGGGCCTTGGCGTCTGCTGGTTTCACTGCGTATGTTATCAATGCGTATTTCATCAACGACGCCACTTGGTTATGCCGTGTTGCAACAGGTATGGTAGGCCAATAGACCATTATATGCGGTGTATGCTTGGGCATAACTTATGTGGTGCACTACAACTTGCCCACACATTTATGTATGAGCGGCTGTTTTGCACTATTGCTTGCACAATGATAAGGTCGCCTTGCACAATGATAAGGTCGCCCTGAAAGGATATTTAAATTTGCAAATTACTCATTTGGTGTGAATCGTGAATTTGGTCTCGCATATTATGAGTCAATATAGTTGCGACAAAGTGAATATTGTAGCAAATATTATATCTGTTACAAATAATTGCGACATCGTGAATGTAGTCGCCAACACTGGGGCTAATATGTGCGATATGTCCATCCGGAGCCACCATGCATGCACAATATTATCGCCACTAATAGCCAAGGGCGGTTCCAGAACACAATTTTTTGGGGGGCCAAAAAAAAGTTTGGTCCCCCAAAAAAGTGGGTCAAAAAAATTACGGCGTGGGGCTCGGGGCCCGCTTAAGGGCCCCGAAATTTTTTTGGATTCTAGATGCTCTGTGGTGCCATCTGAGGCGATTTCTGACCATTTTAACCAATGTTCTTTTGAGGATAAAATGGTGGTGTACTCATTGCCTGCCTTTATTGCGATGTCACATTAAAAAACAAAATTGGTTTTTTTTTTGTGGGGGGGCATGGCCCCATTTGGCCCCCCCCCCCCGATCCGCCCTTGCTAATAGGTACCAAAGTGAGTGGAAAAAACTCTATTAAATTATTAATGAACAGTTTCTTTGTGGACCACTTTATCCACAATCTAATTATATTTCACAGTTTAAATATTTGTTTAAGAAATTGCT